AAAGAGAACTGCCCTGTACTCCTTCTGCAAACCTCTAATTAACGTCTTTGTCCTGGTTCTGGAACACGGATCACTTTACTTTCCACAAAACTCTACAATTCTGAACACAGCTACCAGTCACTCACGCCAGCTGTGAGTCCTGTTAACTCTGCCTGTTAAAATACACAAAATCGTATCAGTTAGACATTCCAAACAAGATAATTACTGTGGCAGGAAACAAAAATCAGATTAAGTGGGATTTTGTGGCATAGGACACCCCTTCAAGGTTTTGTTTGACAGAGGGGACCAGGACAGATGGAGGGAGGGTGGCCCTGCCTCTGAATTGCCTTTGGAGTTTTAACTCCACTCTTATGCTTCATCTAGTCTTACCTTCCATGTCTTATTCAGTCCATTTCCCTTTCCAAAGCTCTCATAACCCATCTCCCAACATTTTGTGAATTGAGTTATACTGATTTGTTTGCTCAGGGATTAGCGATTGTGGGCAGGGAAGGGATTAGTTTAACTGGAGTCAAGAACCTATAGCCACAAGAAAAATAAATCAGAGAGAGAGAGAAACTGGATAATGTGGGATCGTTTCACTGTGAGTCAATCCTGACGGATTCCTCCACACCCCCCTGTGATTATGAGAAGGCAAAGAGATCTTAAAGTTCACATTTCAACTGCAGATTTAGACTTATTTAAAGTATCGCTTTGATAAACTGCGAAGGAGGCAGCGAATGAGTGAGTTGAAAAAAAGGATAAAATGAGTGGTAACATTTTTTTCTTCTTTTGCCCCTACAGCACTGGCTTAGAACAGCTCTGTGTACACCATATGCATAGTCATTGAGCGTGACGAATGGGAATAATGTACTACATTTCATAATACTGATCTCTTTGGCTATTTGAGAAAAACTCGTAACTGGTGTCTTTTAGAGTGTCTTGCACTCTAAAAATACTTATCACAACAAATCCTTAAGCAAAATTTCTTTTCAAAAAATAATCTTAAGAGACTTTCTAGAGAAGCTAAGACATTTTTCAGAATGCTAAGAACTTACCCCCTCTCGGTCCCTGTTTTGGGTAAGCGCTTAATCCTCTCAGATGTTTTCTCCTGTCGAATGTTTTACTTGCAGTTTAAGATGGTGTTTAAAATTTTCAAAATTCCTTCTACAAGTGTATTCCTCTTCCCCCTAAAAAATGGGCTTAAACTGATGTTAGAAACCCGCACAGATGTTAGAAATTCCATCCCCTTTCCAGAAAAGGACCAAGTGTGACTGTGAGATAATGTCCCTTTTTGGGAGATTCTTGTTGCCTCCTCGAATCTGGGTGCAGTTGTCAGCATCCCCAGAGTGCGCACCCACCACCCAGCTTTCCTGTGCATCACTCCCTATGGGTCACAGGAGGTCCGAGGTCCTTCCCAACACAGGATGTCTGCAAAATTATCTGCAGAGTGTCAACTTGTAATATTTTCTATACTGAATCATGGGGGGGGTAGGGGGCACCTCTCTGTGAAAGCACAGCTAAGCAACTTCCCACTGCTATGCAGAAGACCCAAAAGCTTTGGAAATCAAAGCTGGACTACAGCTTCACAAGCCACAGATATATACAAGGTGACACTAGCTAGCAAAGTCTATATACTTATGATTGCTTTTTTCCACTCACTGTTTATCAAAATAACCTGGAAGGGAAAAAAGAAGTCATCTATACTCAAATTAAATATGCAACCTGATGTCACCTATTGCCCAGGAATATCTTGTTGCAAATCAAATTATTTAGGAAAACCTAAATGATTAACCCACGTTCATTTCAGGCAAAGTGTGTGGCTTTTTTGGTTAATTTTCATCATGCTGAGGGGCACACTTCATAGTCACATCTGACCTCTGACTCCGACATTTCACACAGGACCAAGTGGCTTTGTTTCCATTCTGAAGATGGTTTGAAAACTTACCACCTAAAATTTAAATTTCTGTTGCCCATGATATAAATAAATAACTTCTTATAAATCAAGAATTAGGTTTGATATTAAAACACAAAATGAAAATAAAATATTATGACTGTCTGAGAAGATAATTCCTTATCAGACATTCACCAACGCATACCAGGCCAAGGTTGTCTTTCTCCCGTTAGTAAGGAAATGATACATATTTTAAGTTATTAAATTATTCTCGTGTCCTAAACTCATCTCCAATCTCCCCTTGAGGTGTTACTTAAATTTTTTGTTGTCCAAATAGCTTACATAATGTTTCACGTTTTATCAAATATTTCCCCCACATCGACCAACTATGAAAATGCATGTTTAAAACCCAGATCTTACAAGGCGTTAGTTTTATGTGTCTAAATCTGACTAATCATCTTTATCGGTAATGCCACTACTGGCCAGGAGTCAGGTGTTAACAGGAGCAGAAAGGTCACGACAATTCTTGACTAAAGCCAAGAACGCTGCGTTTAGAAAACTAAATGCACCTGAGAGAACGAATGGATGCTGTAAAACAAGCACCAAAGTCAGCCTTTCTCGTCACCACGCCTCACATTTTAGCTACTTACATGTAGTAAACAGCAGTTCTCTTAAGACCACATATAAGGTATGCGACTAGCAACTGGTTTTTGTTTTGTCGTAAATATTATTTTACCAGAGTCATTGATTTATGCAAAATAAAAGCCATTATTAATAAAAATCAGTAAACAAAGACATGAAGAAGTGAGGGGGAAATCTAATCTTTAAACGCTTTGCAACAAGAACACTAATATCTATCACTTTGAAAGAGATCAAACTTCTCTTACGCATTACCTAATAACCTCACTAAAATACCTAGAAAAAGCGCAGGTTCTTCCCCCAACTTTGTTTAATGTGCAATCCACTACCAGAGAATTTCATCCAAACCTCTAGCTCACAAAATTTCCATTCAAGGAGCGGACAGCTCGTTTTGCTGCGGGCAATCTCCCCGCTACTTTTTCCGCAAAGATGGCTGATACAAACAGCACCTCATAACTACATAAAAATGGTTGCTCAGATTAAATTATGCAAACGTAGTTTCAAAATAACCTGCTCAAGTTTCAGCGCATTAAAGATGGACCTGCAAAGCATTTGCCATGTTACGCCTGGTTCCAGCGGAATTTCAGTGGGTACTGAGGGGAGCGCAAAGTTTAAACCGTCCTTATAAAGAAACACTTTGAAACATAAGCGCGCACACATCAGATCCCATGGGCACACTCACTGGCCTTGGACCTGGCCCCTGAACACTGATCTGTCACCAGCAAGGCAGTCATCGGCCGCTTCTTTGAGGCCCCCATGCTGGGCTACAAGGAGAAGGAGCCATCTTTCAACATTTAGTCTTATCTTAAAGTAAGATATTCCAGAGATGGAACTTTCAAAGTGGGAGTGAATTTATAGGGTAAATTTATTTATTACATGAGCTACTCGAAAATCCACTTTTAATGATCTATTTTCCACAAAATGACATTTGTCAACCTGGCAATGTTTCATAATCAGACACCCACCTACAAGTTTAAGGTGGGTCATTACTATATTAAATAAAATTCAATAAATTTAATGTGCCAGCTAATCTCAAGCCATAAGACGCCGGCCTGGTAAGAAGCACATTAGATATCTCCCAATGAATAACTGATCAATAAGTTTTTTTTAATAAGTAAACTCTAGGTTTTAAACCTTTTTTTCTGTTGGTTTATATTTATTCTAGGGAATAAAGAAAAAATTTAAGTAATGATGCACTTAAACTGTGGATCCTATTTAGTAAGTCTTAGCTGAATTTATAAAACAAATAGTAACAGAATAACAAAGTAAAATATTTTTACTTTCAAATAGCTGGAGACCAGTTAATTAAAAGTTATATAAAATCAAATTCAAGCAAAAAGTTTTCCCAGTCAAAAAAAGGGAACCATTTTGTTCTGAAATATGATAGTAGCTTTCTTTGATGTCAAACTTGAATTGGAACTATCCTTTCTATTGCATAAGTCGGCCTTTGAACCAATATGAAGTGCCATTTACTTCCACTTACATCCCATCACTGGTTATTTCTCTTACTCCAGTTTGACCAGTTTACGTAGCTCAAAGCATCAATACAGCAGCACTAAAAACCTTCTGCTCAGTTCCATGGGGTCCACCGTGGGGCCTGTATCCCTCTCGTTTGGTCAGTGTCGCCCAAGCCCTCCGTGTTCAGAGGCGCCTCTACTTTGTAAACTACTTTCGAGAACTCACCCCAAGTCGTGGAAAGCTCTTTAGCATAAGGAGCCACGAAGCAAACCAACACCCTAGGCCTTAAACTGTCAAACAGAATCTTGAAAGGTCGAACAAAACATCGCGGGTTTTACTCTCCTGCCCGCAGAGGAGCTGAGAGCGCTTCTGGGGCCCGCTGGGCACCCCGACCTACTCACAGCTGGGGAAGGGGCGCTCTGAAAATTCTCGACCCCAGGCGCAGAGCTCACCGAGTCGCCAGATGGAAACACGAATGGAAACCGGTGGCGCGGCTGAGCACTCCCCTCAAGGGCCTTCTTGAAAAGTGTAAACAGCTCCTCCAGGGCAAAGCAAAATGCGCTGCCTGCAAACCCTCCCCACCCTTCTGCCCCCAAGTCACGACGACCGCGGGAGCCCCATTACAGATGGTTTCTCCGCGGCGGGTCCTTCCACACCCTCCCGCGCGCGCACACTCGCGCACGGCTCCCCGCAGCCGGCGGCCCCCGGGGACCAGCAAGATGAGCTCGCGTCCCTGGGTGCGCCCCCCAAATTCGGCTACTTGAGTTCCAAAGAGCCAGGAAGGTCCCCGGAGAGAAGGGAAGGGAACGAGGAACGCAACATGATTTCCCCCCAATAACTCGGCTTCCTTCTCCCCAATAACTTCTCGATTTTCACATCTCTCTCCCGAGCGCCGCGAGTGGGCGAGAAAGCTTCCCTCGCCAGGCGGCCGAGAGCAGTTGAGCTGGCGCTGGAGCCCAAGTCACAGAAGGGGGTGCCCGGGGCGCGTACCCCGGCGCACCCGGGGCGCGCGCTCCCCAGTCCCTCCTCTTACTTTTGGATGATCTGGGGCAGGCCGGCTTGGGGCGGCGGCGGCATCCCTCGCGGGCCGGGGGGCGCCGAGGGCGCGGGGGCACCGGGCACGCAGCGGGCATCTCTGTCGGGCTGCTCGGGGCCGCCGGGGGCCGCGTCCTGGCTCATGGCTGCGGCCCGCACCATGGAGGTGGCACCGGCCCACGCCCGCGGCGAGAGAAGGCGCCCGAGGGCGGCCCCGTGGCGCGGGCGCTCGCTGGCCGGGGTCGCTGTGCCCAGTCCCCTTGTCCTTCCCGGCGGCGCGGGGAGGAGACGCGAGGGGCGGGGAGAGGCAGTCCCGGCGGCGCCGCCTCCTCTCGCGCCGCTCCTGCTCCCCGGCCGGCCGCGCGGGGTGGGGGCCGGGGGGCGTCTCCCGCGGGCGAGACCCGCGCGGCGCGGGGGGCTCTGGGGGGCTCGGCCGCACCCGCGCGGCCGGCGGCACCCGGCAGCCGCGAGCACCCGCGCCGCACTGCGCTCGGGTCCCCGGGGCCGCGCCGCGCCCGCCGCTCCGCCGAGGGAGGCCGGAGGGCGCGCGCCAGCCCGGGCCCGCAGCCGCGCCCTCGCCTCTCCCGGGAGCCGGCGGCCTCCGGGCGGTCCCCGGGGACGGCGCGCGCCGCCCCACGCGCTCCTGCCGAGCGGGGCCCCCGGGGCGCGCCCGGGACGTCCGCGCGCATCCCTGGTGCGAGGTGCGCCCAGCGGGGCGCCCACCCGGGCTGGGGCGCGGCCAGCGCCACTAGCGGCGGGGGGCGGCCCGAACCCTCCCCCGGGACGTGGGACCCCTAAGCCCGGGCCTGAGATGGGCAGGCCCGCGGGCTCGCCAACGTAGCTGCTTATTTCGGGGGTCCCCAGAAGCAGCTGTCGGGCCCGCGGTGGTTCCTCGTCTCCTTCCCCCACCCGCCCTTCTCGCCGAGACCCGCCACGATCCCGCTAGCGCAGGGAGAACCAGGCAGGGGTTTTGTTCTTGTTTATTAGCCAAATCTCTGGCGAGGTGAAGGAGACTTCGCCGACCTCGCGCCGCCACCGGGGTCGCCTCTGAAGTGGCCCCGCACACCCCGATTCGCGGCCGTGCACGCGGCACCCTGCGCGCGGAGCCGCCTGGAGGAAACCCCGGGCGCGCGGAGAGGGGTCTGGGGACGCACCTGGCGTCGCGGAAATTACCTAGGAACTGGGCGAAGACCCCGCAGAATGGTTGCCCGGGAGATGCCCCGCCCCCCCCCCACGCGCTCCTGCATCCTGACTCCCTCCCGCAAGCCGGAAACGAGGAAACGCGCCCCTGGGGTGCCCGGGGAGCCCGCGCGCGCTCCAGGGTGCCCACCGCCTGGGCAGGCGTGCTTGAGGGTCTCCGCCCCGCCCACCCTCCTGCAGCCATGCAGAGGAAATTCTGAGATGGGTTTTCTGGGACCTGGGAACTTAATTGAATTCCCTGAAAGATGCTTTCTTCTCTCCCCAAACTGTGAGTTCCTGTCACCTTATCGGCCAGTCTCTTAGAAACTGAGTCTCCCTTGAATTTCTGTCCACCTGCCTGGGGTCGGCCCTGGCCGCTCCTTTCACCCGGTCTCTCTGTCTCCCTCTCTTCCTCTCGCCCTGCTTTCTCTCCTTCCTCCAAATGAGATGCTATGTCGGCTCCTTGTATCCTTAAAGATCAACAAAATTCACCAAATTGAATCTCACAAAAAAAGATAAAAAGTTGTTTATTGTTGCCCCCATTTTACAAAGAAGGAGGCTTCAGGGTAATGGGTCTGAACACACGTGTCAGCGAGAGGCAGTCCCCAAAAATCTTCTCCAACTCGCTGAATAGTTAGTTCATCACCTGCACTTTCCAGCAGGAATTCCCGAAGATGTTGTCCAACATTCCACGCCCCCCATCCCTGTGTCTAGGAAATTACATGAAATTATTGGAACCAGTGGAGTCAGTTTCTGTGAGGGTCAGTTTCCAAGTATGTAAACAAGCAGTGAGGGGACCCCAAGGCACAGTCCTGTCGGGATGAGAGATGATGTGCCTCGCCTATTTGGGGCAGGAGGTTTTCAATCTGGCATCTATTACAAACATGATTCCTTCTGTTCCAAACTTGTAGCCAAGTAGAGTAACAGTTCTCAAACTCCAAGGAATCGAGTGCCTGAAAGTCACAATATTGATATGATTAAATCCATTTTCATAATATTTTTACCAGCAAAAAACACCGTATTATATGAATGCAGCTCTCTACATCTCAAAAATAGTGTATTAGCATCTGGGACAAAATAGTAGTTGTGGGTAAATCTAGGCATTCCAATGCCTGTTCTCTAAGTCTGAAATTTTCGGAATACAAAAGTTAGAAAAAAAATTAATTCATGGTAATCTACGAGGTTTCTCAGAAATCCCATCTCCATTCATATTGCTTCATAGTTGTAGTTTACGTGTTGTATAATAACTGAAACGTGAATTGGAGCCGGTGTGGAGGGAGAGTCTCTGCCACAGAATCGAAAGCAAATTCAAGCTCCACTTCAGGTCCCCACACACATTGTCCAGATAATATCAAACAAGCATTTCTACTTTGGATTCTGATGAAAAATGTTTTTTATCTTATACTTTTTTAACTTCTTTCCAGAAAGAATGTAAATGATCCCTAGCCAAGGTTGCAGACATTTAAGAAACTATTGATTAAAATTGAAACTCGATTATTAAGAAATATAGTGTCTTGCTTTTGTTTGCTCTGCGCCCTCACCACCAGCACACACACACACACACACACACACACACACACACCCCAGGGTGCATTTCACAGTTACACAAGTGAAAGAAAGGCCACCTCAGTCACCTGACCTGACAAATGGGGAGCATGACTAGTTGGTGAGGCTGGTGACATCTCCCTTTGTTCTACTCTGCAGAAGCATCCTGTCCCTCCGACCAACCCGTAAACCCGAGTCAGGCAGGGAGGCTGTGGCTGTGAATATACTGCACATTTAACAAGAGTCAGCTGCTAAGTGTTTTCATAGATTATTACTGACTTCATGCTCACAATAACCCGTGAGGTCATTACTGTCATCCATGTTTTAGAATGGATTTAGAAACTGAGGCTCTAGTCCAAGAACGTCCCCCAGGACACCTGGTTTTTAAAGGCAGAGGCAGTTGGGGGGAATCTGACCCTAGACCGCCCTACTCTGCCTCAGTGACTGACGAGGAGCTGAGCTTGCCGTCTGTCCTCTCACGCTGAGATGCCGCCTGCGTCTTTCAGTGAATGTAAAATGCCACTTGCAGTTGTGACTCAGCTGGCAGTCATGTCTACCCAGACCAGTAAGTGAATAGGAGGGATCCAAATTGGTGTCTCACAACCATGAAAATTCAAAGAAATTAAGCAGCCTCATGGGAAGTGATAGAAGCGGAGAAGAGTAGAACCCAGGTTTCTGTTATTACAGGGGTCACTGACACGCTGGCTTGTTTGTATTATTATTGAATATTTGCTGGGCTCCAAACCTTATTTCTTTCTTTCTTTTTTTTTTTTTTTTTAATTTTTTGTGGGACTCTCACCAGCGGCTGGGGAACAAACCAACACTACAGAGGCTGCGGGCAGCCTCGCAGCCCAGCGCTCAACCGCTGCGCCACCAGGGGAGGCCCCAAACCTTCTTTCTTTTAATATCATCATTTCGCAGACAAACTTGAGGAACCTGTCCAAAGTCACAGGGATATAATAGTGGAACTGAGGCTCAGACCCTGGTCTGACTCCCTGCCATCCCCTGTCCTCTGTTTAAAGAACTAACCCACCTTGGAAGATCATTGTGATCATGCATCTCTGCAGATGAGACCATTTAATAACCACTGCTATTCCATGTGTGTATTATTACTGTTTATTTTTGTAATAACAGTTTGCTTAGTAGACTGTAAAGTTTGATAGTACCAGAAGTGGTGAAACTGTGGGACACAGACTTTCTGTGGGTGCAAGTATCAGGGGCTGCAAGCTCTTTGCAAGTGGGCTAACACTGCCTCTTAAAATTGCAACAAAGAAAACTGACTGAGCCATTAACATTCTAGGAATTTATTTATGTATGCATAAATAAATCTTTTTTAAAAAAGGGTGGGGGATAGAGCTATCTATATACACTGCTGGGAAGAGATTTCCAAGATGTTTTATTAAGGAGAAATACAAATTCCTCAACGGTATCATGATATGATTAAATTTGATTAAAAGAGGATAAACTACTTCTGGATATTGTATAATTAATTAAAGATTAACAGTAACTCTAGAAATTGCGATGGGACAGAAAGCTTTTCCTTTCATGACCTTTTATATTATTTGCACATTTGAAAGAAAATTTTTTTTTTCCGCAACTGTTTTTAGTGTGTGTATGTTGTTTGGATCTTTTTACTACGAACTTGTGTTCTTTTTATTTAACAAAAAAGAACAAACTCGATTATTTGTTTCTTCAACTAATAGTTCTTAATACTTAGTACAATAATAGATTGTTAGTTTTTTTTTTAAGAAAAACTTCACCTGGAAGAATGAAGAAGAAACACTCTGACCATGTATAGTCCAGATTACCTTTCAATAAAGACAGTTAAATCACTGACTCATTGAGTTACCTGCAGTCGTATTGGTAACAATTCTAACCCACTAGTTTGACAACTGGGGATAAATATTAAATAGCCTATGAACATAATGTATTAACTGGTGTCTGGATTTTTTTTAAGGATTTATTTATTTATGCATATAAGAGCTGGGGTACAGGCCAGAGATGCGGGGGGAGGTGAGAGGATCCACCAGAGACAGAGTGGGGAACAGAACAGGCAGACTGACCGAAGTACACCGCTGAGGGGAGCAGCGGGCGAGACAGGAGAGGTCTGCTGCGCCATGTGGGTTGCTCCCTGGCGGGCCGGGGATCGAACTCATGCTGCAGAGGCTGTGGATTGCTTCATAGTGCGGTGCTTAACCCATTGTGCCACCAGGGAGGCCCTGGTATCTGGGTTTTAACAGTACCTTTACCATCTCTTTATTTTGTTGCTTACTTTATTTTTTAATTAAAAAATTTTATGGAAGTAACACCATATTATATAACTTGTACTTTTCAGGTATACATCATTGAAAACCAGTGTGTCTACCATGTTAAGCTCACCACAAAATTCCGATTCTACCTTTCACTGCCTCCTTGTCCTCTTTGTCCTGATTTATCAC